CTGCCTGTAGTTTTCTTATAATTTTATTCATTTTTTAACAGAATAAAAGTTAATTTCAAAAGCTCATTTATATTTTACTATTTACTGTTGGTGTTGTAAGATGGGGCAGCTGTGGCAACTAAGAAACAAAGGCTGTTATTTACAGAGCCATTAAAAAAAAGGTGTAAAGAAACTGCAGCATCAGTGCCAGACATTTTTGCAGCTTTCCCTGGTGTAGGCTTGGAGGCTGAAAGGTGAACTGAAACAAAAAGAGTGAGAGCTGTGAAGTTTTTGCTGAGTCACAAATGTAGCTGAGTATGGGAGACTTTTCAGTTTTGAAATAGTTTGTTGAGATACAGTTGGGTTAAAGAGCTGGCATCATTGTATTTTTGTGTGTCTAGCAGGGGGTTGATGGGACACAGGGAATAGTTCTGGTGTTTTACGTAGAAAACATGTATAACTGGGGGAATCTGTGCAGAGTGAGGCCTCTATGCCCATTCAGGAGGGCTGGGTTTGGGGTGGTTTTTGCCTTTTTAAAGTAACAGCATAACCAATACTGAAGTTGGATTGATTTGTTTATAAAAGATCATCAGAAAAGCTTGAATTTTGCATTAAATTGGTATCTTTCTTACTTATAAAACTAGTGTGTGTCTCAAGCTATTCAGTTCTGTAGGAGTGCTGTGTCTCTGAAAACTGGTTGGGCTCTTTCCTTTGGATGTTTTGCATGCTTTTCATCATTGGAAAGAGAAGGGTGAAAAATCATCATGTCTTGACTACATAGAGTTTGAACTATGGAAGTTACACAGTGGGGCAGTTGCCCATTTGGTTCGTGTCCTCCAAAGTGACTCTGCTACCTCAGAAATTATATGTGGGCTTGGTGTTTATTCTAGGAGCCAGGGTACATTGCCCAGGCTGTGCCACACTCTTTGCCTGGTTGTCTTGAGGGTTTTAAGTCAGGGGCCTGGGCTGCCAGTGAGGGTGGGAACGGACCAAGTCTCCGTACTATGGATAAGAATGGTGAAGATGCACAACAAAGTATGTAACAGTGTAAATTTGACTTTGTTCATTCATTCAGCCAAGCTGAACTGGATTCTCAGCTCAGGTGACTCAGAGCCATACCACAAGCTCCTGACTGCACTTACAGAGTTACCAGGTGAGGTGCTGACCTCAGGCAGTTCAATCCCATGGTAATTTGTGTAATGCGGTTAGTAAAAGCAAAGTGAAGGGTTTGGGTTATGCTGGTTTGTTTGGTGTTTTTTTTCCCTCTGGACATAATTTGTTCATGTATAGTTTAGTATATATAGCTTTTATAGTTTATACTGTACTTATATTGTACAGTGTATAGTTTAAATAGTACTGTGTATAGTTTACACTAGACTGTAGTTGAGCTCACAGAAGCGTAGCTCAGCAAAGACAGGCTTCTGTCAGAAGAGGAAACGCAGCACTGCTGCTTCTGGCTGGGTAGCTTACCCAGGTGGGTCTTCATATAAAGCAAAAACAGCAGATTACCTCACCCCACCCTTTTTAAAGAAATTTTAATTTAAGAAGCATGATGAGTTTATCACAGGGTACAGACATGCCCCTTTCCTGGGTCCACAAGGAGTTTCTGATTCCAGCAGAGATGACCTGGGCCCGTGGTGTGAGTGCCACTCCAGGAGGGCGTCTGGCATAGCCACCGCCCCCCCACCCCCTTCTGTTAACAAAAGCAGCAGCGTGGCCTGTTACCCAAGTTGGGGGCTGCACGGACTCTACCTGGCAGAAGCCTTCTACAGCTGTCCTGTCCCTCAGACAGATGGTGACCCCTCTTCCTCCTTCCTGCCTGGGCGATCCATCACCAGTGCACCTGTAGCTGCTTTCTCTTCCTTTTCACTGTCATGTCCCTCCCCGCCCCCCGGGAGGATAAAACCTCTCACTCCTTGCTGTACAGACTTTCCCTTTACACTGCTGCAAGGACTTGTTTCTATGGTTAGCTCAGCATGGGATGCTGCTTGATAGCATCCACTGCAGGTGAACAGTTGCAACAGAGATTATTTGGTTGGAAGCGACGCACTTGCAGGAATTTGCTGCAGCTAGCTGCCTGTGTATGCTCCTAACGCCCATTGCTGGGAGCCAGGCTCAAGCCAGACAGAGACCAGCCTGAGGCAGAGATCTTGTGACCGATGCACTGGGAGTGCTGCATGCTGACTGTAGCAAACCTGTTTAAAAACAGGGTCCAGTTCTGTAAATTCAAACCGTGAGGTGGGGTGGCAGGCAGGGCACAATCCCCAGAAGCACGAAGCAAGCGCTACTGCTACCCCCTTATGCTGCTCAAGCAAGGAATGCTGCAGATCCAGATTCCTGTGCCCCAATCCCTTTTTGCTGTTCCCCCACTCACACTCCAAGGTATGTGTAAGAAGTTACAAGCCTGGCTCTTGCGCTGGCTTTGCCCAAGCAATGCTCCTTTTCTTCCTGTTCACTTAGGCAGGATCAAGAGAAAAGCTCAGAAACAGTATGAGGTTCCTTTCTGTAAACCAGGTTATTTTTACCAGAACCTTTCAGAGGATGCTATTAAACCCCTGAGGCAATGTGTATTTCCTTATCTGTCATCCAGTGCCTTGAAAGATTAAAGCAGAGCTCCCCTCAGCCATACATACAGGTCAGGACTTGCTTAAGCAAAGTGGTCACACTTCACCACGTGTATCCCAGCACCCAGAACAAAAAGCTGCTTGCAGCTCTGGCCCCTGTGGCTGTGGCAGAGCTAGCACCAGCCACACATCAGCAGATGCACAGCTGGGACTGCTGTAAGACAGATGAACTGGCTCAAGGGAAAAAAAAAAAAAAAAAAGATGCAAACCCAACTTCTATGACTGTTTAACTGCTGTAGTACAGGACCATCAAGCAAAAGGAACTGTGACACAGTTTTGTTCCAGTAGATTATACAAAAATCCCTCCTTTTATTAAAAGAATCTCATATTCACAAGGAAGATCGACAAAGTAAAGGTAAAAAGAGGAGACTGGAGTGATAGGGAGAAAAACAGAGACAGTTTACTCCTTCACTGGGGATCCAAATACGGCAGTTTTCACCGAACTCAAACAAACAAAAGAGACAAGCACTTGGGTAAACAAATCTAACACACTTTCTTTTTTTTTTTTGAACCTTCACTTTCTAGAGTGTTTTACAATTACAGTCACTTATGGAGTTGAAGACAATGTGCTAAGTAACACACAGGTGGTTCACCTGCAAGGTACTTTATTTCTTACACAGCTATGAAAAGCACCAGTAACTGAATAAGCAGAGTAAGTAATACAAAATAGTTGGTGCGTAACCAGCTGGAGTTACATTGTACAAGAAAACATCATTAAATACAATCATCAGGAAAAAAATCTATGTGTATCCCACAGTGATATAAACCAGCAGCAAGATAATTTCTCTCATATTTCTGCTTTTTGCCTCCTAAAAAATGGACTGAATCCTACTTGTTATTTGAACTTTGGAGCATAGTATTAAAGAACAAGTTTCAGAAGCACACATCAAAAATTCAAGACTTCAGAGGCAAGCATCTAATTAATAAAATAAATTTAATAACAGTATTATCCATTCAAGGTTCCTTAAGTTAACTGTAGTATCTTTTTCTCCTTTTAATTCATGCTGAAAATTAACCTTCTAAGTGCCCAGTACCCATCTGTTGTACAGGCACAAAAGAAAACATGGCAAGCTATAACCTCAAATACCTACCTGAATCTTTATAAGAAGTTATATCATACATCAACACTTGTAGCTAACTAGCATCCACATTACTTCATATATGACTAAACATCCTGTCGGTCGCTCTGATTTCATCGCCAGAACAAGATTTTTAGTTTCATAGATTCCTTGCAAGACAGCTCTTATCTCAGCAGCATCTCTGTTGTTTAGAAGCAGAAGGTTCTGCACGCAGGATGCCTTAAGTTTACTAAAGATTAGGTAAAAAAAGGCTGCTGTAAAAAAAGTATATTAAAAAAAATAAAAGATCAGAGCTATAGTAAACAGCATCCAAGAAACAGTTTTAGACTCAGTGAGACACTTGAATTTGCTGTCAGTTTGGTGACTTAAGGCTGTTCCCACACATCCTTACCAAGCAAAACCCTTTGGAGCTTTGCCTGAGCAAGACATGCAGGCGCATCCCCCGACTGTATGCATACTGCATCCGAAGCTGGGCTACCTGCTGAAACCCACCCTGGTAATGAAACCTGAGCTCCCTTTGTTCCAAATCCATCTCTGGGAAACAGGAAACTAAAACTAGAACCAGTTTTCACCCAGCATTTTTTTCACTGCACAGGACATGCAGAACAAATGCTTTTGTACTCCTAGGGCACCATCCACTATTTAAAAGTAAATACAAAAGTTAGGGGGTTTTTTCAGTATTCCACACAAATACAAGCAAAAAATTCCAGCTATCTGTGGAACAGCACACAAAGCCACCTGCTTTCTGTAGTTTCTTTCATTATTCGGGGATGAGAACTGTAACCAGCTAGAAAAGTGTTTGCATTTAAGAGAGGCTATTCCAAAATACAAAGGAAACAACTCTTGTATTACTGTCCACCTCTCTGTTTTGAGTAACAAGGCAGCTTGAACAACTTCATACATCAAGGGTTAATTGTCATCCTTCAACTGAACAAGCATCTTCTTTGAGCTTCTGATGTTGCAAAGATTATGCATACAAGGCAAACACTCCTGGCCCTCATACTGTAAAAGCTCTGTAAGGATTAAAATTTGGCATAAACAAAGTGAATAATCCAACACATTCATTATATTTTCATACTTCATACCAAATAAAATACAGGGTGTGCACAGTGTTAGGAAGCAGGATATTACTGCCATTTGATTACAGTGCTAAGAAAAAGTGTGACTGAGTGTAAACGACTGTTTACTGCCCTAGGCAGCTGTCCTGTCCTCCCTTGAGATGGAGTATCATCTTTCTACACACCAACGACAATAGAGCCCAGCACTAGGCATCACTACCTTTCCACAACACAGTTGTTTCTGTGTGACATACAGTACGGGTTTAGTACAGTTAAGTGTACGTGTCTTACTTGCCAGAGGTTCAGAAAAAATTAAGCATTTTTAATGTAAATGTAGCTTCCCAGCACTGTGCATCAGCCGTTTCTGTTTGTCCTGTTCCCCATTACATACTTTTTCTTCCTTTCTACACAAGACCACGGAATTATCAGTCTTCTTTAGAAGGAGAACCTCATGTCCTTGGTGTAGCCCAGCTTGTCCAGGTTGGGAATGCAAGCATACTGGATCATTGGAGGAGGTCCACACATGAGGATCAGAACATCGTTCTGAGGTGGAGGCAGGTGGTCTCTGATCATTTCTTGGTTCACAAATCCTTCGCTGTATTCCCAATCTGTTAAAATAATGGAAGTAAGGGAAGAGGAACAAGGAAAAAAGGATAAAAAGATAGATGCAAGTCACTTTAGTATGAAGAGTGGGGGTTTAGGGTTTTTTTGATAATATTCTGGACTGAAGTATTTGTACACTCCACTCACATTAGCATCCTCAACACAGTTACGCTACATGGAAAAACTGCCACTTCTGCTTTTAAGATGCAAAACTGATGTGGGGAGAAAACAAGGGATAACTTTTACTAAAGCTTGCTGAAAGCCCCACGGAAATCTCAAGCAGAGCTGTGAACAGAGAATGAATCTTCTCAGCTCCAGCACTGTGAAATAACAACGTCCATCCTCCTTACCCTATTGTTTACAAGTTCTCCAGGGGAAATCTAGCTGATGAAGTTGTTCCTGGTAGGAACACTCATAGTGCTAATCAGTTAATACTAGGAATCAGGTTTACCCATTGCATCCCCAGCCCTGGATGCAAAAAGATGCTGACCCAAACCTTTGGGCACAGTAAGACTGACACATTTTTCTCCTGCAGACTATCCAAAAATTTCCAGTTTTGGTCCAGTTTCGGGTACAGTAGTAAAAGTCTGCAGAACAGGGTTGAGAGGATCTAAGGAGGAACTTTTATTGCAACTGTTAAGATCAGCTCACAATTCACAAATATCAAAGAAAAGGAACAGTGATTATACCTGAATCTAAGCTGCCTTAGAAATTCCAGGAGAACACTAACTGCAGAAGATAACATGACAGCAGCAGACTGTGGGGACTGCAAGACCTTTCCTCTCACCCTAGGGGAGGCATATTCTTGGTCCCAAGGTACGAGAAGGCATACAGCTTTTCCTTCTCTTCTCCAAAATACCACTGAATAGGAGTGTGAAGCTATCCTGATGCAGGTGGGCATGATGAGGAATGCTAAGAAAGGACAACGACAAGCAATGACACAGAAACTACTTAGCCTTTTCACAACTTAACTATTTAGCCTTTTCTTCCTCAAGCTTGCACAGCTGCAGGAGGCACATTCAGCTAGCTCATCGTCTCACCTGGACGTGTATCACATTATCTTTAAACCCGGACTGCAGCAAGCAGGAATTGTATTTTTCTTGAGAAACACTGTTAATATAAAGGCAATTCCACTGCCTACGAAGATCAGCTACCATGAATTCCTGTAAAATGACAGCTAGGTAGGAGTCTGCACTTGGCTGCATCTCCATGAGATCCAGTGCCTCTGACACTCCCATTGCAGCTGCCTTGATGCATGCTCAAAACACGAGACAATAAGATAACTTGTTATGTCTGTGGGGAAGGAGAATGGAAGGTCACCTTGGATGGGAGTAAATAATGGTAAATATTCAGGTGTGGTCATGGGAGGAATGCTGCACTACCATTCACCTGAGGTGAGCTTTGTAGCTTTGGAAACACTGCCTAGTTACATCTAGAGTTTCTGTTCATCACTGCATGAAGAATGCTGCTACTGGATGCATTCAGACACGACTCATTAAGCAAGAAAGGAGCCCAGAAATATGCATATGATATAGCACATAGCACGCCTCCTGTCAAACACATGCATTAATACTCCTAACAAGCTTCAGTGGAGGCAGCACATTAGGTCTTACTTTCAGGTGGTCTGTCCAGCGTGTACCAACACTTAAAGCGACTGGGATTCTCAACCTGGATCTCCTCTAGCTCAGAACGTAACAGGATATCCTTCTGAGTCTGCAGGATAAGGAAAACAATGATTACAGACTGCATTTGAGTGCAGCCCTCAGATGACCATAGAGCACAGGCCAAAGAGAGAAAATGCTAGTTATTTCCATTATTATCCCATGGCAGAGCTAATAAAAAGGTTCAGAACTTTGCCAAATCCTGACCATGCAATGCCTTCCCCCTAAAAAATAAAACAAAGCAAAACCTGTATCAAAACACAGAACCTTCACTTGTTCAGGGAATTAGTGGTAGCATCAGAAGAGTAAAGCCCTATTTTAGCACTCCTATTACAAAAGCAATTTTAATCAAAAAAACCATCATCTCTCTGCCCCTCCATACTGTGCCATGCAGTCAGGAAAATGCCAAGTTTTTCACCTTTGCTGCTTCAAATTTCAACACCACTGCCATATGGAGACTGCTTGGTTTTTAAACAGGATGTGGAACCACAAATAACCAAAAGGGTATTGAGTTCTGATTGGAACAACAAATGTTACCCAGGATATCAAGTTCTGCTCCTCCCTGATGCAATCACTGAAGGCCAAAAGAAAGCCTTATTCCCGTAAGAGCAGCTGCAGTTTGGGAAGGACGGAAAAGGGTAGAGACTAAAAGTGGCACCATCCTCTGCAGATCTTGGAACTTGGCACTGTGGACACCACTGTGTCTGTTACTGTGGGGGTAAGGAGGAATGTCCCAGCAACTATTGCCGAGAAGGTGCCTATTTCTGGATCTGCTGTTGCGTGTGTTCCTGAAAGGCTGTTACAGGGTCTCACCAACTCAAAACATGCTAGCCAGAAGCACAGTATGAGCCCACGTACATTGTCATCCGTAATCCAACAGAGCTCTTTCAGGAGGGCCAAAAGAAAAGATCAGCAAAACACACTACAATATTAAATATGAAAAAACATCTAGTCTGCAGGCTTTCTTGACTGACCATTTGTCACAAGGCTGCTTTGTATTTGTGCAGTTACTGGGTACCAGGACTCCTTAAAGCCAAAGATTGATGTTTACACAGGCTGTTGCTAATATGCAGGCAACTGTTCCCCCAGTCCTCCCTGCAAGAAGCAGTAGGTTTTCTAGGTTGCTAAAGCAGCTCTAGTGCTGTATTAGTCATTCTGTATTACTTATAGCAAATCCTGGCCCTTCTGCCCTGATATGGACTGTACTTTATGCCAACTCCTAGTGCTCAGCAGAGACCAGCTGCTGCAGCCGCACCAGACAGCACCAGAGGGCAGCTGTCAGGGCTCTTAAGGAGTTCTTAACGTAACAAAGCATCAGAACAGGACATCTGTTGGCACCTCGATCATAGCTACTGGATAGAAAAATCTGTTTATAATTCAGATATTGTACAAAGGAAATGAGGACACACTGAATATCAGAGGAGAGAGGAATGACAGAGGAAAGCCTAAAGAAGCTAAAAAACACAGGCATGCAGTGAGGTTCATCAAAAATAATGTCTCATAATCCAGAAAAGAATCTTCATTATGATGGAGAAATTTAAAAGCAAAAGGATTAACAACAGAACATCAGGCTAAAAAGGGGCATTGCAGTTCAGAAGCAGACCACCACTTGGGTTGCCTGGTCATCCAAGAAATCTTTATCGCAAGGATTTCATGGATGAGAGACCTTCCCTTTGTCCAGCATGGCAGTATGATACACCTCAAAGAGCAAAAGAAACACATGAAGAACTGACAGAGGGAATGGAAATGAAAGGTGACAGCCATGCAGAATCACAGCTCCATAGCTGAGGGAGCTGCTGGAGACCAATGTTAATTTTAGCCCCACCTAAGGTATTCTCAAATGAAAAGATTCCCCATACAAACCCTGCTGTGAAGTTGGGAAATTACAACTGCTGAAGGAGGCAGATGTCCACCTCCTTCATGTTTCCACTAAGAAAGACACCTCTGAAAGTCTGCCTAAAAGCTTAACAATGTGCACAAAGGAATGCAGAGTTTTAAAACATCTATAAACTGGATTAGAATCAGAGCAACGAGACACAGGAAAGCAAGCATGGGCTGGGAGGAAAGCGGCAAGACCAATTCATTACAGTACTTTTATATAGGAAGTTTTCAAAATTTCAGTTCACTTGGAGAGGGGAGCCTCAGGGTTTGTGTTTCTGTACTAGGCTTTCTCAGCAAGAATTTAATTTGCTGAGTGGAGCTTTGTCAGTTAAGTAAAACTTTATAAACAGAAACAAGGACAGAATTACCTGATTAGCAAACAGCAGCTGACAAACGGTAGGGTCATCTTTGTCTTTTATGATTGCTCGAATGATCTGCAGCATAGGTGTTATCCCTGAAACAGAAAGGCAAGTCAATGATGAAGGAATGTGAAGGAGCAAAAGAAAATGCAAGTCAGCCCATGAGAGAAAATGTGAACAAACACATCTACCAGCTGCCAGCAGAAACCAAGGATGAATCTTTATATATACGTACCAGTCCCACCTGCAATCATCCCCACATATTTCACTTTCTTAGTAACTGGTTCTGCTTTCTTTTCAGGCCGAATAGCAAACTCGCCTGAAAGAAGAGAGAGAGGGAAAACATTGAAGAAAGCAGGAAACAGGGCCCGTGATCCCTTCCCAGCACATTCATCTAACTGACTGTTTCAGCTCTGTCAACCACCACCCTCCATAAAGCAGGAGCAGGAGACGGACAAAGGCGAAGACGTCATGATTTAAAACAAATCCTGAAGGATTATTGGAAAGTGTAGAACATGCGATGACAACATCAGACACTGACATGAGTTATTACTTATTCCCGACTATAGCATCAAGCCATCACTTCCTATATTTCTATTTTCTCAGCTCCCATACCCCCAGTGATGTTCAGAAGCGTAGATTCTGGAAACAGTTCTACACAAAGGAATTAACCTAATCAGAGAGCTTATCTACCCCATGCAGATTCTTTCAAGGGAAAATCTGAAATACGCAGGGTATTTTTTTTCTATATTTCCTCTTTTTGAGATTATTTGCCGGTTTCAGCTAAATCTGACAGAGTTTGAAATTGCCCAAAATGTTTTATTTGTTGTATTCACATCTCTCTTCATCCAGGATAACATGAACACAACACACGAAGCTCTGGAAAACGATGTGTCTGAGTTCTGCTGCTCACAAAACTGCCAGAAGTTTTTTGTGACACACTTGTGGCTGCACTATGCCAAAGTGAGATATTTTATATTGGCATAAAAGTACTTTCTACTGATAAAGTTCATTTTCACTTGGGAAATTTGCATTGGACAGCGTAAATACCAAGTATTTTTATCAGTGTATAAACTATGTCTATACACAAGCAGGGAGAGAATTCCCTTCTTTGAGAATACTATCAATAACAAGCACTTTTATAGTCTTATGTCAATCCCTCTCAGGATGATCGTTGACTTAGTTAAGACACTTGCCATTTCTTTTGTGCAGCAAAATACTTGAACCCATCAGGAAAAAACTGTTACCACTATTACTACTATTTTACCATGTTTTGTCTGCATTGTTTACTCTGGATAAACTACATCTTCTGAGTCAGGCTTGCCTTTTCCTTTGTAGACAAGTAGGCCACTTGGTCCCCTGAAGTCAATAGTATCCCCTATTTTCAGGCTGTCTAAGTACTGAGACATCTTCCCTCCATCAGGAAACTTTGGATGGACACCTCTAAAGTAGATCTGTTAAAAATAACAATGAAGCAATTAATCTCACATCTCAAAGATGAGCATTTGCCCTTCAAATATTTAGGTACCCATACTCCTCATTCAAAGAAGACAATTACTATGTAAAGAAATACTATCAATGTAGATTTGACTGACAATAAAAAAGAAGCACTGAGTTTTCTAATAAAGATTAAAATGCCATTATTGACCCAATTTTTATCAGATTAGACAGACTGGCAATTTCTCCACTGTATTTCTGCAACATAGCAAATATCTCTAAATAATCAAAATTATCTACACCCAAGTTCTAAAGAGAAAAAAAAAAAAAGGAGAAAATAAGCCACTGTGATTTCAAACAGAAAAACTTCTGAGAAAGAAACCTGACAGCTCAGTTCCAAAGGGATATACCCAAAACTTCTTGGGATGCCAACTGTTTGCACCTCAAAGAGTAACCAAAAAAGTGGATACCACCTAATTGAACATTCAGCTATTCACCAACAGGTACCCATGGATATAATTACGTTGCTGGAACTGTGCGGGGTTTTTTTTGTTTTAATTCACATGGGTGTGAAAGAGTTCAAGTTGAGACTAGCTACATTTTCACAAGAACAGCATCATTTGCATGCATGGAGAGCCACACTAGGAAGGAGTCTTGAGAAATGTTCCTGAGTCAAAGTGTTACATTTTCCCTTGTCATGTCTTCAGTGTGCAACGCCATGCTCATGAAGATAGGTAGGTAGAAAAAGGCAAATTCACATCGAGCTTAACAATAAATGAATAAAGTGTTATTAGTTGTAAAGAAGAAAAAATTTAAGATTAAAATTTTAAGAGAATATTCATGCAGATATTCAGGTTTTAAATTCCTGTCAGCTTTAAATATATTTGCACAGTCTAGCTACCAAGAGACAAAACAAAAGCACATTATCACAAGACTCAAAATCACATTCTTGACAATTAAATCAGTAATTCACACTGTCTGGATCAGTAATGATAATGATCACCACTCTTCATGATCATTATGACCATATCACATTAGCTTCAAAAGACGCTGACAGCTCGGGTGAGGTTAATTCCTTCTTTCAGAAGTGTGTGAACACCTGCAGGTCTACACAGATTTCGGAAAATCGCAGTATACCAATACAGAAAATTATGCTGCTTCTCATGAGATAACACTCACTAAAGAAGTGCTTGCAAAATGCCATATGGATTGTAGGTAACTGCAGATCACTTGTTAACAATAGTGGAAGTCCGCAGTGGCACATACCTGAACAGAAGACAGCACATTTGACTTCACGTAGCACTTCAAGTGTAAAGGTGGGCTCAGAAGTTGCACAGCCTGGGAAAAGAGCGTGACATTCTCACCTTGACAACAAGATCCACGTAGCCTTTGTCATCATCACTGGAAACTGGAGTGTAAGGTCTAACAACCAGAGCTCCATCAACACGTGCAGACAGGTAGATATGCTGTCCTGTATGCAGGGAAGGAAAAAAAAGCAGTTTGCTTTCAAAAGCTTTTTCTTTCGGTGGATGTACTGAGTTGGCATGGACTGCAAACGCAGTCTCAAAGTTCTCCTAACTACCTTGTTTTGGGGCACCACTTCTTCCTCTCTCATTTTCCTGACAGTATAACACCTTGCCAGAGTTGTTAACCATGCACAGATTCTGCCTGGAAGGGCTGACAACTCTACTGCTAACTGTATGTGTCAATCATGTCTGTTCTGATAGTTTCATGCATTAACATTTACCAAAGCCCTAACTGCACATGAGGTCTTGCAAAGATCTGGTATGTCTCTCCTGTACACAAAAGTGAAAAGCGCAAATGAGGGGAAAACTGTCAAGTACTGTTCACATTTCTTTATTAACAGGTTAGTTATAAACTGCTATACTTTAGTTACAGCTGTTCTTGCTTTGACCACAGATTGCTCATGTCTACCAGGAGGTCTTCTAGCTGCCATTGCTAAGGCTGTGTCCTTAGCTGGGATAGAGTTAATTTTTCACAGAAGCTGGGAGGTGGGCATAGCCAGGGGGATATTCAATGCCATGTTGACATCATGCCCGGGATATAAGGGGAAGCTAGCCGGGAGAGGCGTGGGGGTCTTTGTTTGTCTTGCCGGTGAGGTGTTTCCATTGCATCAGTGTTTTCATTGTATTCTATCTCCTGTCTTATTATTATATTCTCCTTTTCTCTTGTTGTATTATTAAAAATCTGTCGTTACCTCAACTCATGAGGTTCCACCCTTTTTCTTTTTTTTTATCCTTTCCCCCATCTTACCGGGAGGGGAAAAGGTGGGTGGGGGAGGGGAGGGAGCGACCGCGTGGTGGCGGCCCTGACCCAAGACAGGCTGCCTAGACATAAAGCAACTTTCTGTCCCAGCTATCCCTCCAGCTTAACATTTGAATGTAGCAATCATGTTTCAATGTCACACATTCACTGAACTCCCCACAATAGTTTCAGTTCTCAATGTCTATGGTTTTGATGAAAAAAACCCTAGAATTAACTCAATTGAAAGGTTTTCCTATGAAATTCCAACACCCTGAAGAAACCCAAGTGAAGAGTATCTAGGGGGGATTTGGTTTTCATAATTTTACCACAATTAGGTCAACAGAACCTACTATCTTTTAAGATGGAACGCAGCTCTCCAAAGACAGTGCAGCTTCTCTGCCTATTACATGAACCCAAGCAGGGGATTCTACCAGGAGCTGGGTGGCCAACCTGGAGGGCCAGCAAGACAAACCAGTGGATGACTGAAGACGTGCTACCTGGTGACTTGGGACCCAAGCAACCATAACTGACTTGAAGCTGTACGCAGATATAATATAAGGGTGACTCAAATAATGCTCTCAGCAAAGCCTATCCACACCTGGTAGCACAAGTTCCCTGCTAGGGAAGAGCAGAAGGGAGCTACAGCAGTAGCCTCTCGCTCCTCCTCCAGAAAAAGGGAGGCCTTGTCACCCCCTCCTCCAGGGACAGCCCCATGGTGACCACCGCAGACTGTGAACCTGGACAGACAGGACCGCTGTTGGGGCATGTCTCACAAGAATTGGTACAAATCCGAAAAAGGTGCTCGTCCCAAAAGGAGAACATGCTTTATGGTCTCACTTGTTAGAGCTTTACCCCATCGTGACAGGACAGCAGCTGCTGGCAGCCTCTGTGTGGAGCAATACACAATCCCATTCTCCCTCAGCATGAATCATATTTTTTCCTGTAATGCTCCAACTGGTGGTAAAAAAGAAATGCTGGTGCTGGACTGAACATGCAGAGCTCACGCCAGCATCCGTCCCACAGCTGCCAAGCCTGCTGCTCCCAGTTACCACTCTCACCAGGTTTTCAGCTCTCTTTGCTTCCCAAGTCTTGCCCAGTAAACCACTCCCTCTGTCACCCACAGATTAGCCCCTTCGGGAGCATGACTATGCTGCTCCTGGGAGTGGGCAGAGCCAGGCACACACCTTCTCAGGCTACGCTGAAAAAACTTGCTGATTTACCCTAACCTTATTAAAACACTGGAGGAAGTCATGGTATCCGGCAGGGCAAATGCACCCCAGATGGCTTCCTTTCTGTTAGCACCTTGGACAAGAGCAATTAGAGAGGTGAGACAGCTCAACCCGCAACGTTCATTAAGGAGAAGGAAGGGAAACTAGCTTTGCCCTCTTGGCTGCTTAACAGGATCATGAGAATAATATATCCCAAACAAGAGGGAACCTAAACACAATGGACTGTAATGCTGGAAAGGTGCTGAGGACCATCACGAAGCACGTCTGATCCACAGATCATTGCAACAGGTTGTTAAAGCAGAAGTCCCTATTAAACACAAGTCACAATTAAATTCTCTTTGTATAAGGAGTAGGAAACAATATCGCTAAGCTATTACGGAAGGCAACACGCCATATGGCAAGGCCTAAGGAAACATCTACCCCACAATGATTAATAAGTTCCATGAGACTGGCTGCAAATTCAGAAGTGAGCAGATCATCTGGTAAACCACATGTGTTAGAGGAGAAGTAGCTGTGAGCACTGCCTCAGAGGATGGAAAATGACCACAGAGACCAAGCACCATAGGAAAAACACACAATGGAAAATTGAGACTGGAAAAAATACAAGACCAATGTTTGTTTCTATCAGCTTCACAGGAATAAGCTAGATATACGCTCTCTGCAAGTACATGAGATTCCAGACCTTGCAGATGACTCACAGCATGAGGATAATCTTGAAAAGCTCTGAATACCAGCTCAAGCCACGTGGACAGAATTTGAAATTCAACAGTTTAAAAAGTAAGGAAAAAATCCCCACGAAATCACTTATAGTATAATTAACAACACTTGGATTCTCAGTAAGGAAAGACAGAACGTACCTATAGGGAGACCCAGAACGTGATCCATGGAAGGGAGAGCAAATCGAAATCTTCTTGTGTCATGACTAACTTCCTGAAAGAGGAAAATAAAAAGAACAATCAGCTATGTTGTTGGGATTTAATGTTTGTGATTTCATTTGTAAAACAAATATGCCAGTCTGGCTTCCTGCAGGACTAAACATCTGGCAGAGAGCAGCATCCTAACTTTAAATTTTTGCATAATGCAAGTATGAACTCCTCTGAATGTGGCAATCTTGCAGAGGTCAACCTTTCATTCAAACTCCCTGAAAACTTAACTTTATCTCAAAATATTTTAGAAGTAACATGGAAGTAAAAATAGAATTAAAACAGACAAATGCAAATACTATTTTGATGTATATTTAAATGTGAATAGCAAAACTTAATAAGATACTCAACTCCAGATTAAGACTAAATGATAATTTTCTAAATAGCATGAACATTTCTATCACCTTTCGTGAGAAGGCCACAAGATAAAAATTAATCGGTTCTTCAATTCTCATTTAAAGTTTAAATATGTAGGAGTTCAGGGCCAAAAACTTTTGATGTTGACATCTCAAAATTAGATGAATTAACGATTTCAACATAGAAGATTATTTCAGAAGACATTAGTGGATGTCAAGAAGATTAGGAAGTAGCAACCTGGTCCCCTTTACTATGCTAAGAGCCTCAAAAATATTTTCCCCATAAAAATTTGATTAATCCCTAATTAAAATTGAAAAGAGCACCCTATTTAGATAAGAACTTTACTGCACTTTGTCTCTGTTACATGGATGCCATTCAGCAAGTCGTTAGTCAAGGCTAGATTAAAGATAGCCTTGAAACAGGATGCAGAAGCCATTTCTAGCATGAGGTCATCTCTGCTGCATTCCCCAATGCCATCATTTGGCATTGCCCTAAGCACCTGGAAGCCCTTGGCCTCTGGCTACCAGCACACATTTTTGTCTCATGTTGCAGGTGCCGAGAAGTTTTCCACCCTTGCAACTGCAAATGCAAAGCTGGAGAAGTTTCTGCAGGCTGGTGCTTTGTTGAAGCCACTGAAAGGCAACAAATTAATTATGCTTGCCGCTACAAAAAAAAAAACAAACCCTGAGGTTGTAGGCTTTTCTAAGGCATAAACTAAATTAGCACACCTAATTATATCATGATAGTTTTTTCCTATGCTAAACACTAGGAAGCAGACTTGTGTCCTGTTTGTTCAACAGAAGGGAGGTACTGCATACTCAGTTTGGACAGATGTTAACATTTCAGCTGGTGGGTAAAAGACAGCAGAGGAAGAAAGGTTTCTGCTTGCAACAGCTCAACAAAATGATACATTCAGTTTCCAGCTTTCATACATAAAAATCTAAGCTTCGTTAAAAGATAGATATATGTCAAACTAGGCATTCTCTCAACCAGTGCTTTTCAAACCTCAGACTGCAGACACCTAAAAACTGTTTCTAAATAACTGTGGAATCCTTCTGAAATTTCACATACATGTATCGCTGTATGGCAACCCAGCACATATGACTCAGTTTTCCATTGCAATTACCGGTCCATTTTTTTTATCTGTCAAATTGGTCTAAGCATTTCCTGCCACTTCCCTTACTGGGTCCTTTGCTTGGGCCACAGTTCCCTAAGAAAACTTTCTGCAAGGCCATACTCTCAACTATATCATCAAAATTCCTCAGGTTAAAAATTACAACCTCCAGCTACTCCCAAAACAGGGAATTCATTTGTTCATTTTTTGTTTCAAACAAATAATTTTGGTGCTCTGCTGGTGAAGGTATCAACAGTTTCATAGTCACAAAAAGGGAATGATAAATACCAACGTGGTCATGGGAACAGCAGAAACTTTTAAAATATGAGGATCTTTAGCTAGGCAGGACAAGCAAAAGAGCAACTCTACAAGGTAGAACCAGTGTACTGAAATTCCTCTTGCAATAGAAGGTAAATTCTAGCCAACCACACAGATGTCTTGAGTAGGCTCCACAACCACATTAAGAGCCACAATTGTCTTCCCAAGTTAAAATATTTTTGTGTAATGACAGATGTTTTAAAATTAAAAGTTCTCATCTACTTCAAATTAAATGGCTTGTAAAGACAAACCAAAGCACGTCAGAAAGACTGATTTCATCTTTCCCAGACAGGTGACTATGGCAATGTTAGGAAGTTTAGTACCAAAGATCAAAGTGTTTGCACCAGATGTTTGGCAGGATGTTAGAAGCTACTAGCACTTATTGTACCAAATTACTATTTTTCAAAATTAACTTCTGTTTCCAGGACACATTTCTCACTTAGGCAAAAAATTATATACATTCATCAGTCAAATACTCTCAGTTGATCAAGGTACCACATGCAGCAGCACTTGACCTGGTTATATAAGAGCTGTTCCTCCATCAAGATTAAAAAAAAAAGCATACAAAAAATAACAGCAGAGAAATATATCAGCATTTAGCAAAAAAACCAAGTGAACTGTGAATTCTCTTCTGTTACAAACTGCTACAGCAGAAACCTGCAAGTAGCTTGATTCTCAGAAGCATGTGCAGTGCCTTAAGCTTCCCTCCCCTCCTGCAGGTCAGGCAGACTGTACCTGCAAGCACGTGCTCCAGATCTCATGAGACAGTGGGGCGTATATAATAATAGTGTTGTTGCAGTACACACGGGAAATAAATTCAGTAACGCCACCCAGCCCAAGCCATGGGGAAGCTTTCAGTTCCCATGAAGTCAGGATTTAGAATGACAGTAATCATTTTCTTTGACAGACAGAACAAATGAAAGCCAAACTATCAGTGCACTCTCTATACCTCACACAGAGCTCTGTTCCAGTCCAAAGTCCTCTTCATCAAAACTCTTTTGATAACTTTCTGACTAGCTCATTGACTTAAAAAGTCAACACTAAAAATACCTTCGGGTGTGACTTCACAGCCAAAAAGCCAAGTTTTCTCTCTCATGCATTTAACAGTGAGTTTATCCAAGGGAAATCTGGACTTTTCACCTTTTGTGGCTTTGGTCCCCTTCCCACAAGTTGAGTTATCAACTTCTGATAGCAAGATCCACCCCTGAAAGGGTCATGACTTTCCTCTGAAGACCCGATTGAGCAGCCCAGGAGGTACAGTACAGCTTCTACTTTTAGCAGAGAAAGAGAAGCTGAGACAGCTCAGGTCTGTCACGACTACACCATTTAAACACCTTTCTTCCTGTAACACATCAAAGTACATAAATCCAGTAACAGAAATCAGTATCAACATACTTCTGACAAATACTATGCTGGATGTTACTGACCACGATAAAACTCCCTGCTCTGCCTGACAGCATGACTTCTGTTTCATAGCCAATCCAGCAGTGCAGAGTTTAGGAATTTCTGCTGATGTACTCCATGACATGAGACACATCTGAGAGAAACTACAAGTTTGGTAATTTCTAAAGCAGCAGCATTTGCCACTCTAACTTCCTTGGAAACAAGCTGCTTGCAGAACTGCAGAACTCGGTTATACTAGGCAAGGAACATTTATAAAGAAGTCCTCTCCTTAAAATACAAATACTTGCCCTGCTGCAACATTACCCAAGATTTAAGAAGCTATAAGCATTTCACAGTATCCAAGGAGAGGTTGCGCTCAGCACTGTACATGCTCTTACCTCCTTATCAATCAGCCTCAATGCATACTTCACTTCAGGATCCTTCAGAGTAATCGCAGGATGGGGATTCCTGAAAAGCCTCAGGATGGCGGTGTAGATGTACCATATTGGGTATGTCACAACCTGACTCAACTGCAACAATACAGAAAGAGTATTAGACACGTGTGCGTAACAAGAGGAAGTTATTTTGGTAAGAAGGAACATGGTAGCATGACATGACATTCTAACCACCCAAAAACTTGTGTTTCTTTGTACTAATATAAGCAGGAAAAGGAAGCATTAAAAAAAACACCAGCCAGTGTAACACACAGATTTGCTTTATGAATACGTGGCATTACTCCTCCATTTGACATACTGGCAGAGGGTTGCCAAACCCGGCAGCTTGACAGAAACAAGGCTGTCGCAGCTCCATGTCCCCAGCTCCTCACCCTTAGCGAGGCTGAGCACACCTGTCCAGCACGCACATGTGAACACACATACACAGCACATGCCCAAATATACACATGGCTAGCCATGCTGATCAAAACAGACAAATGCTTAAACAAACAGCTCCAATGGCCTCATCCTGCTCCCCTCCCTGACCGATCAGGATGAGGGTCCGTTACTGGGAAATACACATAAACACGTGTACACGGTGGATCCACCAGTAGCTGGCTTAAGTCTTCGCAGCAGCTGTCCCTGGACTCCAGCCTCCCCAGCTGCTGACATATGGATGTACAAGGCACTGTTGCACAGACCCCTCCACAAACCACCAGGTGTGCTGTTGGATCTCCCAGTAACTGGGGGTCTCGCACTCAATCACAGACCCCAATCTCTCTGTGGCAGCTGGCGAGGACCCCCAGCCCCTCCAGCAGCCCGCGCTTTTGGTAGTCTCACCCTTGGAGATCCACACACACCTGGGTCCCACAGGCCACCCCACCTACTTGCTGGCTAGTCCAGCTTGATCTTTGCTAGCCATCGCACACTCACGCTGGGTGCTGGCACCTCAGACACACAGGCCCTCTGACCCACGGTCTGGCTCCAGCACTAGCGCGTACACCTCCACACAGATACGTGCACGCAGAGCAGCATCCCTTCCCCAGGAAAGCAGCTGTGGAGTTTAACAAGAGTACGGGACAGACCCACTGGCTGGTTGCAGGACACAGCCAGACAAGAGTACAGAGCAGCCCTGTTCACACAGGGTCAGCTCTTTTTATCCCTTTATCCTTTTATTTTCCCCACATTTGTTCCTCCCCAAATGGCCTTGTCCCCTGCCTTTGGTTCTTCCCGTAAATGTCCCACAATCCCCAAA